AGCAGGGCTCGGACCAGCGGTTTGCATATATCAGTGGGCCCGCCCGGCCCCCTGGGGGGCAGTTTCCTATGGTGGGGCACAGAGGGGCCGGTGGACCTTGGCTGCCAAAGCCCTCCTCTCGGGGCCTAGTGGCAAAGGCCACAGCTGTGTCCACCTGACCCGAGTGGGCAAGAGGTCAGAAGTGATGGGCTAGGATGGGCTGGGCATTGATTGCCCCCAAGCTCCAGAACCCTCCCCTGGCAACACCCCTCCCCTGCAGGTACCATGTGTCCCTGGCATCCTGGGACAGGGTGTGGAGGGCTGGCCAAGAGGGCAGAAGACAGGGGGAACCGTCTGAGCCAGCAGCACTCTCGTGTCCAGCCCCTACCCCTGACCCTACCAGGGAGGAGCCTGAGGCCCCAAGACCCGTGGGGTCTGAGCCAGTGATGGAGGGAAACTGAGGCCTGGGTCACAAGGGTCTTTTTCCCGTTACCCTCCCCTCCCCTATACCTCTCAGAGTACTCCAGCGCCCAGGCCTGAAGGTGCGGGTCACCCCACCTCCCTCCTGGGGAGTGGCCGCTTCGGAGAGAATGTGGCACACGGAGGGTGAGGAGAGGTGCCTGAGCCCCACCCAAGCAGGACCCCTGGAGGCCGAAGGCCAAGAGAAACCAAGAACAGAGAGTCAGCTCTGGCTGGGCAGGGCCTGATCGGGGAATGTCCCAGGAACCCCCAGGAGGTGGGGCAGCAACAGCCCCAGCTGCCCACTCACCCCAGGCAGGCCTCCAGCAGTGGGCAAAGAACACAGAACCCCCCCACCCCCACCCCGCAGCTCTGCAAGCCAAGTGGGAAGGGCTCAGGTGGCCAAAGCCCCTTACCTGGAGCGCCACCTGCAGGAGTGATGGGCCAAGACCAGGGGCACGGGATACCCTTGACCTTGCAGCAGCCCCCACACCCTCTGCGGCCTCTTAACTACAGCTCCATCAAAACCCAGGGAAGGTGATGGGTGCTGCTGTTGCTTTGTCAGGAGCGGGGTGGGGGGTGGAGGGCCCCCCAATACCACCAGGCCTTACCACACCCAGCCTGTACCCAGGAGTGGGGATGCCTTCTTTGGAAATGCAGAAAACCCAGAATCCATCTGGGGGGTGGGAGTCTGGAAGGATGTTTGGTTATGAACCAGCTCAGGGTTGGCTGAGATGTGGAGGCCTGGGGAGGGGGGCACATTCCCGTGTGTCCTCAGCTCCCCTGAGGGCCCAAGGACAGTCCCTCATGGGGGCTCATCAGGCCCAGGATGCTGGATGGGGGAGAAGACAGCTCAGCTCCCCATAGTCCTGGCATCGGCTCCCGTCCTGCCTGACCGGGCCACAGCTAGCACCTGGCACACAGCCCGCGAACCGGACCTCCACCCCTGCACAACTGGATGGACGTGGAGCCTTCTCACCCTCCATGTAGGGGTCTCCTGGTGTTGGACACCCGTCCTTGCCTGCCCCACTATGACGCATGGGCCTCACAACAGGGCCCACTTGGCTAGGCATCCTCGGGGGACCTCAGCCACCCAAAGAAATCAGGCCAAACACACAGACAGCAGAACCCTTCTTCCCAGCCCCCCAAACCCACAAATAGACGAGACCAGAAAGAGGCTGCAAAGGCAGGAGCCCTGCCCTCAAGGCACACCCTCGGGGCAGGCAGGTGGCTCAGAAGCCAGCAGGGAGGTCTGCATGGAGGTGTGGCTGGGGAAAGGGCCACAGTGGCAAGGGGGGTTGGACTCACCCCAATTAGGGCCCCTTCTGCTCTGGCTTGTCCCCCACAGGGGAGCATAGACAGTTTTTGGATGCTGTCCGCTGTGGGTCCCTAAATTTTGCTGAAGGGTCAACCTGCCTCTGAGCTTTCCACTGAGGGTCTCAGCGTCCCTTGCCCCAAGGGGTTGGCACCCCCCAACCCTTCCTGCCCAGAAGAGTGTCGGGAGGAAGCAGGGTGCGTGGGGAGAACAAGGAGGGGGCTGCAGGATGTCCTGAAGAACGCTGACTATCCTCCCCCTGGTAAGGACTCAGTGGGGATGGAGGCTGGCATGGGTACCTGTGACGGGGAATACGATCCCGGACAAGACCCCTTCTCCTCCCCCACGTCAGCCCTGGACACTGGGGGGGGGGGGTGACTGATGGGTGGGTGTTGAGGGGGCAGGGACACAAGCCCTCTTCTCTAGAGGACAGAGAGGGGCTGATCCTGGGCTCTTCTTTGGCCCACAAACCTCCCTGGGGGTAAACAACTCACTGTCCTGGGGGCTTGGGGGACAGAGGGTAAACTGAGGCAGGTGGGAACACACTGTTCGGCTTGTTCCCGGGGCAGAAGTTCCCATAGCTGAGGGGACTGAAATCGGGAGAACTCAGGGGGCAGCGGCAGTGGGACAGACTGGCTTGGCCTCTGACTTCACGTGGGCTGAGCATCCAGGCCTGTCCCGAGCGAGCGAGCGAGCGAGCGAGGACACAGGCGGTGGGTCTATGTACAGTATTCCGGGCCCCCGGCCCACCCCTCACGGCGCAGCTCGTCTGAAATCACAGTATTTTCACATCACAAGTAAAAGGGCTGGTTCCCTTAGGCTGTCCTGTTTCAGGAAATCTTGGCAATTCAAGAATACTTAGTAGAGAAGCAGTATTTAAGAAGTAAGCAAAACCCCCTGTTGCAGACCTCAGGAGGCCTGCCCAGGCCCAGGCAGGGGTGGGAAGCCTTTTGAGGACACAGGGACGCCTGGCCACTGGCTCCTGGCTGCGACCCCCTCCCTGGGAAAACTGCACCTACGCCCCTCCTGGGCCAAAGTGGCCACATAAATACAATGTCACCTGTGCCCCCCAGCCAAGGGGATGCTGGACACAGGCTGCAGGGGTGGACACCCTCCCTCTCCTGCCCATCTGCACTGAGAACCGGGCGCCGAGCAGACGGGAAGTAGGGGCTGACGAGGCTCCCTCATGGGGGTCCCCAATGCCTCGTTTGAAAATTGCATCCAGGAAGGTTGCTTGTAATTTTATTAAGGCCATTTTTTAAAAAGTTCTACACACAAGTCTAATGGTAATCAAACTCTTCTATGTACATGTAGTTTTTTCTTTAAAAAAAAAAAAAAAAAAGTCTCACTCTTCGCTCCCAGCCCCTGCCTCAGTAAGAGGCTGGGCCCTCGACCTGGACGGACTGACCCCGTGCCCCCCAGCCCAGACACAGGCAGCCGGGGTCACCTGACTGAGACGGGGGCCTTCTCACGCCTGTGGCCGCCCAGTTGCTTGGCCAGGTGCTATGAGCCTGGCCCGGGGGATGAGAGGGAGGGACGTCGCTAGGATGAAACCTGGCTCCCACACGGACAGAGCCGAGGGCTCGTGAGACCTAGAGGCAGTGGCCGCGACACCACACGGAGAGACACACACTGCGCGGCAGGGGCTGGCCCGGCCTGCAGGCCGAGCGCTCAAGATGATGCGGCTTCGGAGGGACCGAAACAGAAGTTCCCATCTCAGAGCAGCTGACCGAAAACAAAGACACCCCTGTCACCCCCTCCCAGGGCCTGGAGGACGCAGGGACAGTGCCCAGCACGGTCCGAGCCCCGATGGTCACCTCAGCCTCCCGGAATGCCGCCGCTACAATGCACACTGCGCTCTTTCCTCCGGAGCCAGCCCTGCCCGGAGGGGCCGTGAGAGGGGCGGCTGGAGGGGACGAATGTCAGCTGGGTCTCGGGGCGAGGGGGCACCTCATCGCTGGGGTGCGTCAGGGCAGAGGGGCTGCCGCTGCTGCCAGCCTCGGGGTCTGGGACTAGCCCTCCCTGAGGACCGGCAGGCACCTTGAGGATGACCAGGCAGAGGTGGGTCTTCGAGGGACCCTTAATAAAAGCCATGGCTCCTTCCTGGGAGTCTGACATGTGGCTGGAGGGCGCAGCACCCCTGGCCACCTCGAGCTTCTGCCAGAGACCCTACCAGGCCCAACCCGCCCTCACTCAGCCCTTCCATTTCGAGATAGCGCGGGCCTAAGCAAAAGCGGCCGGAGACTCAGCTCAGACCCGGCAGGCAGCAGCCTGCTTCCAGTTAGCTTAAAAAATATATAACATGGGATATCTGGAATAAAAACATGCTCTCAGGCAAGTGTTGGATTGAAGGAGTCAGCTACTCGTCTACAACCAAAGTGTAAATACAACCCAAAAGAAACAAACAAACAAAAACACAACAAAAAATGCCCTGGCCGCCCCCTCCCCACCCCGTTCTTTAAATAACAGTAACAATGACCACGGTACAGAGAAAAAAAGATGAAAACAAGTTGAGAGACGAAAACAACCCCCAGAAATAACCCCTGTCTCCACATGCATCCCCTGGCAGGCCCCTTCATCCTGGCCAGGGGCTTCACTTTCAGGGCAAAGGTGGCCACAGAGGGACCTGGCTGGGGGAGGGCAAAGCGGGAGTGTGGGTCCCGGGAAGATTTAGCTGCTTTGCATGCTCTGTTCACACCTTTTATAGTCTACCTCCATGGGACGGAGTCTAGAATTCTCTGAATGTGCTCAGAAATATAAAAGACAGCAGTCAAAATAGTGTTTATTTCACTTTGTGTCTGCCCCTCTCTCTGGCACCTTCTCCCTTTGGGCGGGGCGGGGAGGGGGGGAGGCTGGCTCGCTACCTAACCTCAGGCTGGGGGGTGGCCGGGCGGGAAGGGGGGACCAGGAACGAAGGAAGGCAGTGAGAGCTGGACAACAGTCGGAAAATGCACCTCAGCCCACCGCCGCTGTGGACCACAGCGCCCCCTCCAGGCCGGTGGCCCTGCCCAACACGCTTTCCGCATCTTACAGGGGGGACGGCTCATGGCCCAGGGTGGGGGGCGAGAGAGCACGCGCAGGGAGGGTCCGCAGGGGTGACACGCGGCCTCCCAAGGGAGGTGGACAGCTGGGGGGGGCGGGCGGGTGGGCAGGGGGCGCTTGGCGGCATTGCAAGCTCAGAATCACAAGCTCGGCCGTTTGCGAAGGACGGAGCGCGGCCGTCCCTGGGCTCAGGGAGACGCCGTCGGGACCACTGACCGGCGGGGTGATGGAGCCGGGGGCTGGGCGGCGATGTGCCGGGTGTGCAGCTCACAGACGGTCCATCCGGAAGGTGTCCTCGGTGGCCGGATCGGCCAGGACCATGTCGGGGTCGTTGAGCATGTGCAGTCCGTCCAGGGTCAGGGGGTCAATCTTGAGTTCGTCCAGGGGGAACTGGTTGTCGGAGTCGAAGCTGACGTCACCGACCCCGGCCAGTGTGCTGGTCAGTTCTTTAGACAGGCTGGGAGGGGACTCTCCCGTCACTGGGCGGGGAAGGTGGGGGGAACAGGACAGAAGTCTCAGCATGGCCCTGGCTCTCTGTTCCCATGCCCTGCGCCTCCATGGACCCTGTCAATGCTCAGGGAAGAGGGGCTTGTGCCACCCCAGGGGTACTTACCAGGGGGGTCGCCCTCTGGGGGTTATACTGGCGATGTCTAGGGGCATTTTTAGTTGTCATGACTGGAGAAGAGGAAATGCTACTGGCATCAGGTGGGTGGGGAGCAGGGATGCTGCTCAGCACCTCGGAATGCACAAGATAGCTCCCACCACCCCCAAAGATCCAGCCCCACGTATTAGCAGTACCAAGGCTGGGAAGCCCTGGCCTGAGACCTAGGTCACAAACGTTCAGCGTGAGCTGGCAGGGGCAGGGGCCTTTCCTGCTCTGCCAGACTCTGCCAGGACATCTCCTCCGTGTGCATCCCTGAGAAGCAGGCTGAGGTGTGTGTGAATTCCCCTCCACCCCCCAAAGACCTGGGTTCAAACCTGGGCTCTCTCCTCTACTTGTAGTGACACCTTAGGCCTTAGTTTCCCAATCTGAGACATGGGTATGAAAATCCTGGTCTTTCTGGGCTACTGGGGCAATCACAGGGGCCTAAACCTTCTCATGCGTCTGAAGCTACGGCCCCCAGAGCATCTACTGCGACCACTGCTCACCCGTGGTAGGGAGGAAGCACTACGCCTTGGGGTGGGGGGGGTAGGGGTGGCTCTGGGCGTGGACTCCTCTGTCCTGGAGATGTCAGTGGGACCACCAGAGGATGTCACTCTCAATCCTCAGACAGCACTGGCTTATAAGGAAATTGCTTCTTTCAATAAAACCCAGAACCTACAGGGTGGGGCGGAAGCAGCAAAGGGTCTGGGTTCTATGCTACATGGAGCAGGGACTTACTCACATGTGCTGTGCTCAGGCTGTTCGGGGATGCTCATCGCAGTGTGTGTGAGCTGTTGCACGTACGATGACTGTGACAAGCCCTGCCAGGCAGGGCCCACCCCCCCTAGTCACCTGTGATCCCAGTATAGTCAGCTAATGGGGTTGAGGGACCTGGGTAGCAGACGCAGGGCTGGGTGAGTGACCGGCTCTGTCCTGCTCTTGCTCTGAGAACGGGATACCGGAAGCCTGGTCCAGGGTCCAGTGTGTCCCCGGGGGCCTGTTCCACACAGCCCAGCAATAAGTCAAGGTTGGTGGGGTCTGGCCTCCTCATCCTGCAGGGCAAGGGTGCCATCTCTTCTGGGGATGAGGCCCCTTGCAGCTGCCAGGCCCCCCTGGAGGCACTCTGCTCAAGACCCCCACCTAGGACGCCACGGTCAGGTGGCCTCACCTGTGAGGATGATGTTGGGGATGCTGCTGTGGCTGGGGTAGCCAAGCTGCTGGGTGTCTGGCAGGCTCCCGTGGCTGCCCGTGAGGCCCATCATGGCCGCCTGTGAGTAGTTGAGCGTCGAGCCCGGGCTGTACAGGCTGCTGGAGCTGATGGCATTCTCCATCATGTTGAACTGCTCCAGCTGTGGGTGGAAGCACACAGGCATGAGGCCGGCCCTGCTGAGCCCCTGGCTATTGCTGGCTGGCTTGTCCTGCGGCAGCCGGAACCAGCTGCTCCGCAAGATGCCCAGCGCCTGTGCACAGACACTGAGGGCTTGTTGAATAGGAGACTCTATGCCCTAAGATCTCCAGGTCTCCCCCTCTTTCCTCTCTGAACCTGCCCAGGCCCTGTCCACATACGGCCCCCATCAAGGCTTGCTGGATGGATGGACTGATGGAAGGATGGATGGGTGAGTGACCTGCTCCAGGAAGCGGCCAACCCTTCTCATGCCCACATGCCCTTGGCCCTGACCTCCACGCAAAGCCAGTTTCGCCTCCCAGCAAACCCACATGCACGGCCCACGCTGAGGCGCCAATGCTACAGCCACCACCTGTCCCTGCCAGTGTTTGCTGCCCACCCTTCCTCCCCCTCTGCTGCTGGCCTCATTCTGAGGGCCCGGTGCAGGTGCCTGGGGAGGCAAAGCCAAGCCACCGCCTCCAAGGCCTGGAGACAGGAGGGAGCCTTAGGAGTGAAGCTCACGCCCGAGGGGCGGGCGGGGTCCGGGTGAGCGTCTGCTGTGGGCGCTGTGACCCGGGCACCCGCTCACCTGGTGGGACAGAGCATTGGCCTGCCTGGCCGCCATCTGCTGCTCATAGTACGAGTCCCCAAACACGCCGCCCAAGGTGGAGGAGTGCTGCAGACAGAAGAGAGGCCTGCTGTCATCACGGTCCCCAAGACCAGGTCAGGGGCTGCCGAGGTGGAGGACCTCCCACAGGCTGCTTGTGCCCATAGGGAGGTCCCTGGAACCTCCGGTAGGATGCTCAGAATAAATGAGGCTGAGCACCTATTGCAGGCCTCCTGGGAGAACCCACACCTTCCAGGATGGAGGGATGCCCCCCAATCTCAGGATGTTTCCACCACCTGCTCCTGGGGGGGGCCTCTGTACCCCAATATCCCCCAAAGCAAGATCCCCCCATCTCCTCTACTTGAGCCCCGGTACGGGTGACCCTGTTTCTATCCGATAGAAGACGGGGGTGGCCACAGGGATCAGGAAACCCCTGACAGGGTCCAGAGGAAAACACGTGACCGGGGCCAGGGTGGGGGGTGTTCTGAATTTCAGGAAGGGAAGTGCACTTGGTGACCATTGTCAAGCCCCCAGGGAGACATGGGACATGGTGGCAGGCCATATACACATAGACAGGATGGGCGCATGGAGCCGAATGCCGGCCGAGCGAGCACAGGACAGGCACACAGAAAGCCCCCCTGCCCAGCTATCTGCCCCTGGCTGCTGGCCTGGGAAACCCCAGGGCCCATGGGTGGGCAGGAAGCCCACCTCCTGCTCTTCCAAGGCCAGCTGGGGGCCAGGTCTGCTCCTGGGAGAAGAGCAGCGGACTGGGGACCCTCACAGGCAGTAGAGATGCCAGGAACAGGAGCTTGGAGCCCCTGCCTGCTCCCATGATTCCAGAGAGAGACGGCAGGATGGAGCCTGGTGGGATGTGCAAGGGAGGAGGGACAGCCAACGTGCGGCCAGACCTCACATGGGGCACCGGGCCTCAGGAAACACATCCGCAGCCCAGACCCGAGTCTGTTTCCTCCTTGGTGAATGAGCTGAGAGCAGAAAGAAAAAATGCCACCTTTACCCTAACTATAGCCAGCTTCAGGTTTGGAAAAGGGGGCTGCAAGGTTGTGGCCGGGATTCCCCATTAAGGAGGAAGCAGGTCTGTTCTGGGGTATCTGTGTCTATCTCCACAGCCTTGGCCTCAAAGGGGCTCGTCACAAGCAGGGGACCCAGGCTAAGGCGTCTTTTGTGAGGCTGCCATGAGAGTTTGCCAGAAAGGTCCACTCAGAATGGAAGGGAAGAACACAGTACCGAAGGCCAGCTGCCTAAGGCCCAGGGGTGCGGTCAGACAGATACAATGTGCACTCGAGGCTGGGGAGGCCAAGGAGGGGGAGGGAGGCCGAGGAGGCGGGAGGGAGGCCGAGGAGGCGGGAGGGAGGCCCTGGTGCACAGGGCCACTGAATGCAACCTAGGGACCCAGCTGCAGTACGAAGCCAGGCCTGGCCTCCACCCAGCACGGTCTGCCCCCAAGTGAGCCTCCTGGCCATCTTAAACCCAGGTCTGGTTGAGTCCAGACAACCTGATAGCCCTGTCCTCACAGCCACTCGAGCTGCTTGCCTCCCTTGCCAGCACCCAGTGAATGGATGGATAGACCAGCACAAAGACTTGGGCTCCACGAGACAGCAACACACTTTCTGCCTAGGATGGATGAGCCCACTTTGGTCTAGGCAAATCTCTCCTGAGAAATCTGCTCCACCCTTGAATTCCTGTCCTGCTTCCTGTGTAAAAAGAGACATTACTCAAGGACCAGCCCCAGGAACAGGCCCCACCTGCCACTTCCCCTGCCTGACCTGCTTCTCCCATCCCTCAGCATCCCATGACACCACACGACACGACTAGACGCTTTTCGGGAGCCATGAGAGCTGGGAGCCGGTGTGGACGTTATCTAGAGCTTGCAGACACCAGGCTGCCCTCTGGCCTGCCCTGAGCTCACGGACTCCCTCCCCACCTGCCTATGGAGCAGGAAGCTGCACACGGATGGTCCCAGCAGGACCCCAGGCCACTGTGGGGTGGTGGAGGAAGGGTCCTAGGAGAGCTCCTCCTATAGCAAATGGAGCCATGAGAGCAGCCTTCCTGAACAGGACACCCACCATCTCAATACAGGGCCCAATTTGGGTGCACTTTTGAGAACTGGGGAAGTGGGCACAGCAAGGCCTGTCCCCCTGGGACAAGGAAGCCCAACATTGTTCTTGCATCGTCCTGCCTGGTGGGACAGGTCCTCTCCCTTCCTTAGCAGGGGAGGAAAATCCTGTCGCCCCCTGGGCCAAGAATGAGGCTTCAGGGTCTTGGGCACCGCCCTGTGGCAGCAGCTCCTGGGACTCTCTCAGCTTGGTGACATCTTGGGGATGGGGTGGTGGGGTCCTGAGGAGGCTCTGCAGCATCGAAATTCTGAGCCCAGATGTCAGCTTTGTAGGCACCTCTTCTCCTCTGGTGGAATGTTCCAGACAGAATTCAGCCATGGGCTGAGAGCAGTGCTAAGGAGAATTCTGAGGAACCTGGAGGGAGGTATGTATGCATGTACGCATGTCAGAGATTGGGGTCCAACGGTGTTGGGGGAAAACCCCAGTCTGATGAATGTGGTCAAGCCCTTCTGTTGCTTGGGACAAGCCTCAGTCTCCTCCTCGGCTGAGACGGAGACAGAGGCCCCAGAGAGGCTGCAGTGCCACTCAGAAAAGCTTCCTGTGAGGACCTGCCTTCCAGGGAGACAGACGGGAGAACGATCTGAGGAGTCAGAGCCCCAACCGCAGGCCAGCTGTCACCTCAGCTGCGCCCCAGGGCGGGAGGAGAGCCCCTCCACTTCTGGGAGTCTCGATGCTGTTGGACCCGGACTCTGAGCCGCACGCTGAGGGGGCCCTGACTGCCGGGCAGGAGGCCAGGGTGTGGCCGACACGGAGGTCCCTAGTGCGAGTGAGGGGCCCACCGCCCCCAGACGGGTCCGCGGGCACGTGGCAGCGCCTTGTGCTCCCTGCCCCGCCCGGGGCGGCCGCGATGGCGTGGAATGAGGCGTGAGGCACAGACGGCGGGAGGGTCGCTACGTGGGGGGTGCGAAGCCGGGCCGGAGTGCAGGGCGCTGGGCGAGGGGCGGCGGCGTCCCTTACTTGCGGGGAGCTCCCCGGGGAGAAGCCTTGATTGGAGACAGGTGAGGTGGGAGACTGGTTAGCCGGGGAGCCGGCACTAGCGCGGTACTGCTGCAGAGCCGGCGCCTGCGACGACAGACAGGTCAGGACGCGCCAGGGGCCCCGGGCCGGCCATTCCCCACTGGGCACCCCGCCCCAGGACACCCCCCCTCCCCCGCACCTATCGGGTGAGCAGAGTTATCGGGAGCACCTGCAAGAGATCTGGGTCCCTGAGCCCTGTCTGAGCCTGGGGCCTTGTGGGGCTCCCGGGGGAGGGGGGCGGCACTGGTCAGAGAACCCAGCTCCATGGATCCTACTGGAGGGCTGTGGGAGGGGCACGGCGGGCTCCAGAGCCCCCGCACGAACGCACGCCCACACCCATACAGGCAGGCGCACAGCCACACGTGTGTACAAACACACCCACACCCAGGCGGGCACGGGAGGCCCAGGGCGGGGCAGGGAGGTGCTGCCTTCTGCCGCCGACTCTGGGCAGCGCCCTCGGTTCTCTGAGCTCCAGCTCTGCAAGCTGGCACGTCCTGCCCACCTCCAGCAGAGGTGGGACGACAGCAAAGGCCATCCGGGGCACGCTGCACCCAGCACTGGGCAGTCACTATCAGCAGCATCACTTGGGACAAGCCTGATGGGTCTGCCGTCCAGAGACCTCCAAGGGACAGCAACCTCCTCACCCGAAGAACAGAGGGCCTTAGCTTCTCACCAGGGGCAGGATGGGCTGGGTCAGGAACCTGGATTTAGAGCCTGCTCTGTTCCCAGTCCAGCCAGGACCCGCTGTGTGCCTCTGGACAGGCTGCCTGACCTCTCTGGGCCTCTTTTCACCGAGGCCCGGACGACCAGCCCAGGGCCCCATAAACGCTCGGTCTCCCCCATTTCCTCAGTGGCCCGTTCTGAGTAGTCTAGGATAGGGATTGAGCCTGGGTGGGGCATGGGAGCTCAATTAACAAGGTTATCGGTGCTGGAGGTGCCAGCACGGTCACTTGGCAATGACTGGCTTGGACCTTCTCAGAGCTGAAAAGAAGAAAATGTCCAGAGGGACATTGTCCTTGCTTGGCTGAGTCAGCACAGACCAAGGAAGAGGCCACCAGAGCCCCTGCCCCAAGGGAACCAGAAGTTCCTGGTAGGGGTGCCCGGCAGCAGACATGCTTGCCTGCGAGCCTGGGCGTAATGTCTGTGCCCCGGACACCTGTGCCTCCCTTGTCTGCCCGGCTCAAAAGTGAGGTACCACTGGTGGAGGGCGTCAGGGAATGAGGTACCCCAGGCAGGCTCCACCATCAGAGCTTGCGTGCGTTCCTATCTGGGGGACCCCTGGGGTCTGCCCTATGAGGGGTCAGAGCAGCTTGGAAACAGGTCTCTATTCACCCACCCTGCCCAGCTCACGGGAGTAAGTCTTTGCAGAGCACATGATATTCTGATAACATTTATCTTGGGGTTGGCAGCCAAGGGCTGAGTGGAGAGGGCTTGCTGTACCCCAAATGTGGTCCCCGTTCCTTGGATTTGGCCAAAGGTAGCTATGACCACCCCCTTGCCACCAGGGCAAAAGCCTGAATAATCAAGAAGCTCTGAGGGTGCAGAGGTCGAAACCTAGCACCCATTACCCCGAGCCCAGGCCCAGGCAAGGGGTCCCGTGATCTAAATTGCACCTCTGGGCCCAGGGCACTGTGCTGCATGAACCACAGGGGAGCTTTAGTCCTTCTTCTCCTCCAAGTTCCCCTCTGTGCTTCTGGCTCCCAGGATCTGTTCCCCAGGCCCTGAGAGTTCTGAGCCCTCCCTGCCCCCAAGGAAGGCATTTCAGGTGGGAAGCGTTGAAGTACTAGGCATCAAGGGCCATGGGGGGACGCCTGACAGTCAGACACAGGGTGGCCCATCTTGGGTGAAGTTGGGGCAAATGATTCCTGCTCGTCTCAGCCTCCCCATCTATACATGGGATGAGACCTCAGCCCAGCAGTGTTTGCTTCAGCTCTGACCCCTGGCCAAGTTGGCCTTGAAGTGGAACCTCGAGAAGGCCTAGGCCAGACGCCTGAGTGTTTTTGGGCCTTGGGAGCCCAGTGGGGGCCTCCCACAGCCCCTGGGTTCCTCCTGCATGAGCCCCCCAGCCAGGCCCCACAAAACCCCACCCTGGGCTTACCGAGGTAATGTCGATCCCCATTGGCGGCTGGCCCGGGTTCTCTGGGGGGGACTGGGGGAGAGAGGACGGTACCGTGACCGCGAGCGGGGGCAGCTGGGGCCCCCGCGTCAAGCTGGCACTTGGCATCAGGGGGCCGCCTGGGGGGAGGCCGACGGGCACCTGCGGGGGTGGCGGGGGCGGCTGTTGCTGGGACGCGGGCGGCGGCGGAGGAGGGGGCTGGGGCTGCGGCGGCGGAGGCTGCTGGGAGCCCGCCTGGGTGAAGAAGGCGTAGGGCAGCTGCTGCTCCAGAGACAGGGCATCCATGGCCACAGCCTGGGGGAAGAGGAGGGCATCAGGTGGGAGGCCACGGGGCAGCGGGGGCCAGGCTGGGAGTACCTGGACCCTGGGGACACCCCATGGCCTGACGTGCTCAGCAAAGATGTCATGGATAAACAAAGGGACATCCAGACCCTGGACCGGGGAAGCATAGGCCTAGAGAGGGCAGGCCTCACCCAGGGCCACAGAGGGTTAGGCTGCAGCTGGACAGGGCTGGGACTTCTCATGCAGCTGGAAGTGCCCTGTCCCCAACGAGCCTTTCCTTCGTCTCTGCCACACACTGAGAGGTGGGCACCACCTTCCGTACCCACTCAGGCCCAGGAGGTCCCTGGCCTCTCTGAGCTAGAGTCTGCCCACTGCAGGCAGGCACAGGGTGCCACAGTCCGGCAACCCAGCAGGCAGCCTGTGCCTAGCCCAACTCTGTGGGGGCTGGAGACTGTGTGGGTGATGGACGCGCTGGTGTGGCCACTCGGTCATGACCAGCTCAGGTCTTCTTCAAGTTGGAAAGAGGAAAAGTTTTCCCTGGTTAGAGGGAAGTTTTCAGCATTTGTTAATCTGTACGGACAGCTCCTGGGACAGGCCAGGACTCCTGCCCTCCGAGGGAGGCAGCATGCGACCAGGAGCTACAGGATATAACACTTCGCAGAATGCCCGGCCTCTGATAAGCGGTGATTACTTCATGAACAAAAAAGGAATCTCTAGAAAAGGAAGGCAGGTTTAAGAGAGAGGGGAGAAGGAACAGGGGTCACAGATGGAGAGCTACCTGTGCCTCTGTTTAGATCCTGGTCTGAACAAGTAGACAGAGACAAAGAGGAGAACCAGGCCCAGGCCAGGCATTGGACGGTATGGAGGAATGCCTGTCAGTTTTGCTGGAGGTGGACAATGCCACTGAGGTTATGTTAAAAAACAAACAAAAATATCACCTATTAGGGATTTAAAAAAAAAAAGACAAAATGGACAAATTCCTAGAAACACACAGACTACCAAACTGATCCAAGAAAAAATGGAAAATCTGAATAGACCTATATCAAGAAAGGAGATTTAAGCAGTAATCAAAAACCTCCCAAGGGAAAATATTTGCAAATGGCATTTCTGAAAAAGGCGGTATCCAAACGTATAAAGGTAGTACCCAAAACGTATAAACGTATAAAGAACTTGCAAAACTCAACACCCAAGAAATGAATAATCTAATTAAAAAACGGGCCGAAGACATGAATAGACATTTTTCCAAAGAAGACATACACATGGACAACAGACACGTTAAAAGATGCTCAACATCACTCATCATCAGGGAAAGGCAAATCAAAGCTACAATGAGATATCACCTCACACTAGTCAGAATGGCTAAAATCAACAAGGCAAGAAACAACAGGCGTTGGAGAGGATGTGGAGAAAGGGGAACCCTCTTGCCCTGTTGGTGGGAATGCAAACCGGTACAGCCACCATGGAAAACAGTATAGGGGTTTCTCAAAAGGTTAAAAATAGAACTACCCTACAAGCCAGCAATCGCACTGCTAGGTCTTTACCCAAAGAACACAAAAATACTTACTCAAAGGGATACATGGATACATGCACCCCAATGTCTACAGCTGCATTATCTACAAAAGCCCAATTATGGAAGCAGCTCAAGTGTCCACTGACTGATAAACGGGTAAAGAAGATGTGCTATGTATACAATGGAATATTATTCAGCCATTAAAAAAGGATGAAACCTTGCCATTTGCAACAACATGGATGGACCTAGACAGTATAATGCCAAGTGAAATAAATCAATCAGAGAAAGACAAATACCACATGATCTCACTCATATGTGGAATTTAAGAAACAGGAAAAAAAAGCAAAGCGGGGGAAAAAAGAGAGAGAGAGACAAACCAAGAAACAGACCCAACTATAGAGCATAAATAATTGCTGGTTACCAGAGGGGAGGTCGGTAGGGGGATGGGGCAAATAGGTGATGGGGATTAAGGAGTGTACCTGTTGTGATGAATCACTATATTGTACACTTGAAACTACTAGAACACTATATGCTAACTGGAATTTAAATAAAAACTTAAAAAACAAACAAACAACCCTCCCAATGAAGATAAGCTCAGACCAGTGGCTTTGCTGGTGAATTCTACCAAATATTGAAAGAGTTTACACCAGTGTTTCTTAAACGCTTCCCAAAACAACAAAAGAAGAGGGAACACTTCCTAACTTGTTTTGTGGGCCTAAACTAAATAAAAAGGAATCAAATTCCTGAAATCAGAAATGAAAAGTGGGATTACTACTACGGACTCCAGAAAATAAAAATGATTATGAGAGCTATGAACGATCGTATGCCAGCACAATGGATAACGTAGATGAAAGAGACCAATTCCTAAACACACGAGCTACCAAAAAAGCAGATGAAACAAAATTATGGTAAACTGAAAAAAAAAAAAAAAACCTCTCTAGGGACGCCTGGGTGGCTCATTTGATTAAGCGTCTGCCTTCGGCTCGGGTCATGATCCCAGGGTCCTGGGATCGAGCCCCGCATCGGGCTCCTTGCTCAGTGGGGAGCCTGCTTCTCCCTCTCCCACTCCCTCTGCTTGTGTTCCCTCTCTCGCTGTGTCTCTCTCTGCCAAATAAATAAAACGTTTAAAAAAAATGTTTAAAAAAAATAACTCTCTAAACAACTAGATCCTCAAGAGAAAGTAACACAATGAAGAAGAGTCACACGGATCTGCCCATGACAGGGACAGGAGACTAGAGGCCAGTAATGCATGCATTTCTGTGCGTTTGAAAATTTGACAAACAGCCAATAGTGTTGGGAACCTTTGTCTTCAGGATTCTATAGCCCCCAGGAAGGAGAGGGAGGTCTCCCAGAGGGGTAGAGCTGGCCACACCTCCCCCACCCCCCCAAGCCCTCACACCTGAGTGATGGGTGACAGCTGGGAGAGGGTGGGTGACACCTGCTGGGCCTGCTGCCTCCTTGTCTCCGTGCTCAGGGACAACGGGCTGACACCAGCCGGGCGGTGCTGTGGTGAGGAGCCTGGCGTGCTCATCCCTGAAAGGAAGGACAGGAGACAAGGGTGGGCCTGACTCTAGCCTCTGGAAGGCTGCTCACACACCATGATCACTGCTGAGAATAGCCCAATCAGACAGAATCCATTGTGTCCTGATCACCAAACCCAGGGTGCCCCCTCCAAGGCCCCAACACTTGTGTGGGCTCTGTTCTCCTTCCTGATCCATCCTCATGCTGGTCAACACTCTCCCACTTATCCTATCATCCCTCCAAGAGGGGTGTGTCCCACAGGCCCTACCAATCAGCACTTCCCTGCCTCTGAACCACCACATGATTGGCTCCCAGATGGACATGTTACCAGACCGGCCCAATGAGAGCCTGCCCTGGAGCTTTTGATGAACTCCAAGGAGGGACGTTTGGAGCTGTGTAGGGGGAGCATCACATGGCTGCAAGGGGAAGAGCCAGCTGGACAATCAGGGGCTGAGGGGTAGAGGCAGCACCTGTGCCCTGGATCCAGCCATACTGGTGCTTCCTGGTTTGGGGAGATAATCAGTGCCCTTTTTTGCCTAAACTGCCTTGGGGTTTGGTTAGCTTCAAGAAAACTGGTCCTGGGGGTGCCTAGGTGGCTCAGTTGGTTAAGCGTCTGCCTTTGGCTCAGGTCGTGATCCCAGGGTCCTGGGATTTGGCCCGAGTCAGGCTCCCTGCTCAGCTGGGAGTCGGCTTCTCCCTCTCCCTCCCCGCCGCTTGTGCTCTCTCAAATAAATGAATAAAATCTTTGAAAAAAAGAAAGCTGGTCCTGTCCAGACGCTGCAGTTTCTCTAAAGCCTCATGCTCCCCTTCTCCTCCTCCCAACAAAATCGTACCTTCCTGTAACTGCTCCTTCAGCCCCTCCCCCCCCACCCCTCCACTTCGTGTGCTCTCCATGCCAGACCATCAGCCCTACTAGAAACTCAGTTACTCTGTATCTTCTTCCAACACCCATGTTCCCAACTGACCTCCTGTCAGGAGGGCTCCCTGTTGCCCTTTCCCTCACCCTGGCTCCCTCCCCCAGCAATGCTATCCCTGGATGTGTCTTGTCGTGAAGGAGCTTAGTGAGGTCAAGTTCAGTATGGCAGCAGTTGGGGCCTGCTGGGTTTTCCTGGGGCACTGTGCCAGGGAAGCAACAGGTCTCCGATGCTTGGGGGAGCCCTGAGGGCTTGGCCTTGATCCCCCAGACTTGTCTCCTTATCCTTGAGATGGAAATGGTAACAGCCACCCTCAAGAGTTCACTGTGAGGGCCCTAATGAGGTTGGGAGCAGGCTCTGAAGACAGTCTGGCCTGCAGTCAAGGCCGATGTAGGAGTCTGACTCACCGGGGGCAACTGGGCTCATCCTGCCGAGGCCATCAGATCAACCTGGGTCCAGCGGGAGAGAGAGCAGGCTCACAGGCCAGTGGGAAGGCACCCAGCACACACCGAGGGGAGAGGACGGGCAGCCTTCTCACTGTGCAAGGCAAGCCTGGTCATGCCTGCATTTCCCCTTGGTCGCCCTGGCAGCTCCACGCAGCCGTGTACCACAGGAGGGCCTGGCGCCGCTGAGTGCTCCCGAGGCAGAACCCTGGGTTCCGGGTTATGCACAGACCTTGGGCCCCAGAATCAGGCTGCTGCAGACATAGCAATATCAAGGGGGCATGGACAAGAAGCCTGAGCAGGAAGAGTCCAGGAGACGCCTGATCAGAGAACACTCAGAGTCAGGCCCACGGGCTGCTCCCTCCCCTTCTCTGAGTGTCCATGGCCTCTTATGTCCTTCAGGCTGAGAACACGCCACACCCAGGGAGAAGCGATGTCAGGGCTTGGTAAGCAGCAGAGGCCAAGGCCAGGAGAGGAGACGGTCAGTGGGGCAACAGGGACTTGGGGCAAACTGGACCATCTCAAGGCCCAGGACCTCCACCCACCACTGCTGGGCCTTCCGATTCTTCAAGAGAAGCCAGAAATCCCGAGTTTTACATGCACTCTCCTGATTTTTAAATGTGGATTCAAACATCACGCACGCAACTACAGGCCAGACAAAACACACTGTAGGCTGGATTTGTCACTTGGGCTGCCAGCCTCTGTCGATCCGGAATACAAGCGAGTTTTTAATCTTCTGCTGGGCTGCAGAGTGAGCTCCTGGTCTCACACTGGGCAGGCCACCACCCCCAGGAAAGGCCAGTTGGGCCGGGAGGGCAAACGGACGCCTTGCTGTTGAATTCCTTTTGGCAACCTGGATCACCTTTGGGAAAAGGAGTGAGGCCAGCTGGAAGGGAAGTCTGGGGCGGGCAGGGAGAGCTGCCAAGGGAGGGCAGGCCAGGTGGCAGGGGCCCAGCCTGAGGCACGCAAGCCTTGTGTGCGGGCCTGGCAGGCCTCGGAGCCGTGGAGGACCCGGGCCTGCCCTCCTCCTGGTTCTGGCCAACAACCAGGAAAACGACCTCGGCAAATGTTTAAGAGGAGAGAGGCCGCTGTCTCCCTGGTGGCAGAAGCCTCCCATTCTTTCTCGAGGGGCTCACGTTCCGACTGGCGGGTGGGCTGGGGGGGGGCGGGCGATCTCCATGTGTGCCAGGGGCCTGCGGCTCGGCTTGATTTAAAATGCGCCCAGAAAGCGAAGACCCTGCCAGGCGAGCTGCTAGAACGGCAGGTTCGCAAACAACCAAACACATGTCAGACATTACTGGGCTGGCGCTCCCAGCCAGGCGGGCCGGGGTCTGGGCCCCACGCTCGGGGTCTGCGCTTGTTCCCGCATCTATGACTTTCACATGTGCTGTGTTTTCCTGTGCTTGTTTAGACTTGGCGTGGGCCGGGGGTGCACAGCTCCCGGGCGGGCGCTGGGGGGCTGCCAAGGACCCTCTGGAGGAGGGGGTGGTGCTCTTGGCGAGACAGGACGAGAAAAACGGGGGGCCAGGAAACAGCGGTGTCTGCACACGGGGCTCCCCCACCAGCATCCCCAGAGCCAACCTTCTGATTTTTTGCTTTGCGCAGGCCTGTGTCGATGCTGCCTGCCCACCCACCTCTCAGGAGGCCGTGGGTCTCAGGCTCCCCTGAATCTGCTCGTTTTGTCTTCTAGGCCTTCCCTGGGGTGGGGGGGGCGCACAGCGGGGGCTGGCATCCTCTGCTTGGTGGCTGAGCCTGAGTGGGCACAGGGCCAGGGGTGTACAAGCAGGAACAGAGCCTCAGTGCTGTTAGGCCAGGGTCTTGCTCCGCTTTGCACTGTTCTGGGCTCTATTTCCTCATCTAGAAACCTAGGAACACTTGCACTATTCTCAATACCCTTCACCTGCCTCTGGCCCAGTCAGCACCAAAGCCAGGAACGACTCCAGGCTCCTCAAGTTTCCTCTGCTCCCCACATTGACCTAACTCCCAGGCCAGCCAACTTTACCTGGAAGCCTCTCTAGAGCATTCGATGGGGCCCTGCCCTGGTGCTGCCACCCCTCCTGATAGCCTGTTCTCCCTGGGCAGCCAGAAGGGCTGTGGCAAATGTGAATCTCAGCGTGTGATTCTCCCTGGGAAAACCCTGCATGGTGCTGCCCACCACACTTGGGGCAGAGGTGCGACAGGCAGATGGACGGGGTGAGCACTGGCTCCCGGGCAGGCCGGAGGGCACAGCAAGGTAGTGCTCTCACTAGCCGCCAAGTCCTGACACGTGTGGACTCACAGAGGGGGCCCCCCACAGCCTGTCCTGCCTGTCTTGCCGCAAGGCTGCCAGGGCTGCCTTATCTCCTCCGTGGATGCAAACCCACACATCCCACAGTCAACATGGGTGCACAAATGACAGCGGGGACATGGGGGACATAGTGGGGACACGGGAGAGCTGGCCCTGACCCAGGAGACAGATGAGAGCAAAGCAGTGACTCCAGAGCAGCAGGGTAAATGCAGAAAAGCGATGCAGAGACCTGTGTGGGCAGGAGGCCAAGACGGCTCACCGAGAAGAGGAAGTATGAGCGTGGGTGGCGTGGGTGAGGGGCCCTGCGGCCACCTGGAGGAGGAGGAGGAGGACTGTGAGAGAGGGGCACACGTGCGAACACCCTCAGGCCAGCTCACTGGCTGGACAGGAGATGCCGTGGGGGGCAGGGGTAGGGTGGGGGCGGGAGACCAAGTCAGAGGGTGAGCCAGACCTCCCAGGCCCCAGGGGTCTCAGGTTTTCACTGGGAGGGAGCTGAGGACCCGTGCAAGGTCCTGAGCAGACAAGAGCCACGAGGTGATTCTGGGTGAGAAGAGGCTGGGAGCTGGGGGGTCGGGTGGAGGTCATGCAAGGCGGAGGGGGTCCAAGCTGGGCGGGGCCCTAATGGTGGGGCTGAGCGGATGCATCAACAGGCTAGGGCAGGCAAGAGAACAGAGGAATCATGCCACTGGGCAACAGTGCTGCCTGTCCCCAGAGAAGCAGGACTGGGGCAGCACCGGGAGGTACTACAAAGTCGAGGGGCCCGTGGGACGTCCTCATGGACATGGAGTGTCCCAAGCAGGTGGGACACTGTCAGCCACTGGGTGCGAGGGAGTGTGGAGGGAGCAGGTTAGGCCTGGTCCTGTCCCTCCGTGAAGAGCTGAGGACAAGGAGAGGCAGGGGGAAATGCCCGGTATACCCCAGGTCAAACCCTTGGGGGCTCCCCTCCTAGAATGTTCTGGACTCACTCAGACTCTCTGAAGCCCCCAGTCCACCCTCAGAACCACTGTGTGATCCCTGGGGACACTGGCAGTTTTCCCACCTCCAGGCCTCCGCCAAGGCTATGTACCCTCTGCCCAGGATGCCTTTCCTGGGCAACATCGGGAAATGACAAGCCCCTATGGTAGGTTCTGCCTCCCACTCCGTGCCCGGTATTTTGGATGTCATCCTGCTAAATCATCATTCAAACCCGTATGTCATCTTCACTAGATGCTGAGTTCCGCCAGGGAAGGAAGTCCTGCCACCGCCCGGCCTGGCCTTACCCTGGCTGGTGCCGCCGATGCCCAGATGAGTCAGGTTGGCTGCGAGGTTGCCGGTGCTGCTGGAGCTGCTGAGCGCAGGGAAGGTGGGCTCCTCAGGGTCCAGTGGGGTCGGGAGGGGGGAGGGGAAGTGTATGTTGGTCAGGTCAGGCAGGGAGCCCCCTGTGTTGTGGGTGGCAGGGATCAGGGCTGTAGTGTTTTCCTGGTCAGCGGATGGAAAGATGCTGGGGGGAAGGCCAGACAGAGGGGGGAGGTGAGCTCTCACCCCGGCCCATTCTCCCCCAGAAGCTATAGTGGGGGGTGAGGGGGTAGGGGGGGGCTGGCGCAAGAACATTAGGGGGCACCAAACGGTACCCTGGGATTAGGTGCTGCCATGCTCAGAAACTACCGTCAGCATGCACCTCCAACGGGACCTTAGGAACCAGCCTGTCTACGCAGGACGGGGACTGGGGTGAGGGGCCTCCCGCTGCCCAGGGACAGGGTGTGTCTGATGAGCCCGTGAGCTGGGGCTGAGTGGCGGGGAGAGGGGGCTCGGTCCCCGCAGGCAGGGAGGGGTAGGAGGGCCCCTTCTCCCCCCACCCCCACCCCGGTGAGGCTCGTTGGATAGCGGCCAGCAGCAGGGCAGCCCTCTTGTCAGGACTTGCAGCCTGCTGAGCGGCCGGGAAGCCCGGGGGGTCATCTGAACAGCCCCAACAGCCCCGGGCATGCAGGGCGGGCCCTGCTGAGACTTACTTGATCCCAGGAACCTCGCAGGACTTGGGCCTGGACCCCGTCTGAAAGAGAAGACAGCAGAGGCTGAGCGGGCCTCCTCGTGCACTGCAGCTCCTCGGGGCATGGCTGACCATGCCAACAAGAGGGGGAGTTCATCAGGCCCCAGGATGTCTCACAAACCAGAACCAGGCAGCCTCTAAGGCCAAGGGGCCTGTCCCAGACATGTCCAGGGGCAAAAGCAAGAGTGATATGCAGAGGGGTCTCTACAGCTCCCACCTCCAGCTCCCGCCCTTGGTGGCAAGCAGGCACATCCCAGCCTAGCTCTGCCTGCCCGTAAGGTTGGGCACAGCAGACAGGGGTGAAATGATCCCTTGTCAGAGCAGGCATTTGAGGAAGAACGTGCCTTGTCCACTCTTTACACCTGAAAACGCCAGGCATGCACAAGCTCAGCAGCGGGCCCACTGGAAACCCAGGCACCCCGAGGCCAATCCCCCATTCCATTCCTGGATCAGAGCGGGTGGTGCTCCTGGGGAAGGAGCTGCCTCTGCTCAACACGCGTTTGTCTACAGCAAGCAAGTACATCATGTGGGGCAGCACGAGGACGCTTGGACTGGGCCCCACGAACATACAGAAGGCGCTGCCCATGCCCCTAGCTGACCCACGGAGGTCCCTCAGCTATGGCTCCCACAGGGACCCACGGAGTCGTGGGTGCTCCCATGCCCCCACCACCTGAGGACGAAGACTCTGGCTGCCCTGTGGGCTGGGGAGGGGGTCCCAGGGAAACCCCACTGGCAGCAAGACCCTGGCTTCCTCCTCTCGAGCTACGGCCACCAGGTCACCCGAGAACTGCAGGCTCTAGGCAGAGCCCCCAGACTCTCATTCAAGGACAAAGAAGGGAACTCTTCAGATGGTGGCAGACATGATGGGACAGAGCCCGTGTGCTGATGGAGGGCTCCAGCTGTGTCACATTCCCTAATTCCCCATCGGCCTCACAGGCCCTCAGGCTGATGTGTTCTTTAGGGATTATCAGATATAAGAAGGCGGATGCACTGGCGGAGGGCTGGGCTGGTGGCCTCTATGCGCATGCCCAGAGTGCGTGCCGGGGGTGGGGGCTGGGGGGTGCTGGCAGCGACTGGGGAGCCTGAGGGGTAGTGTGCGACCAGCAGCGTTAAGCCTCTGCAGAGAATGCCAGAGGAACGGGTTTCTACTTGGCCACCGGCTCCTTAATTCTGTGAGTAAACAGTTGCTTCATTACCGGATTTCTACAAAGCATGAAGACAATGACTTTCTAAAGAATCTTTTCAAAAGCATTCCACGAACATTATGGGGATAACAGAGGATTTCTAAACAGTATTAAAAATTCACCCATCATTGCCTGCCCCCCCCCCCAGTGCCACCCCACTCCCAACAAATCCATCGGAATTCCTTTACTGACATCCTTGCAGACACATCATTTCGTGTGGGCGGTAGTTAAAAGTTGGGCCACAATGCTGGGTTCTGCCACCCTCTTCTCACGCCCAGGATGTCAAGTGTGTTTGCACCAATATTCACCATCACTTTAGGGCTCAGCAGCACATTCAGCTGCTTGGAAGGACCCTGCTGTCTGTCCTTACCCACCTCTCTGCAACCACACATTTCAGTTGCTCCCCAATTTTACTGGGGTTGTAAGAATTCTTTTTGAGTTATTTTCTTCCCTGAATATGAAAATCATATGCAAAATCATATGCCTGTGCAAAACTGGAACACGCAGACAGGGATAAGGGCTGACAGCGGCCACGCGAGAGGACACGCCCCCCTCGCACATCTCCCCAGTCATCTGTGTGTAGACAGGCGTACCCTGGAGATACTGTGGGTTCAGTTCCAGACCACCCCAATAAGGCAAGTATCACAGTAAAGCAAGTCAAATGAATTTCTTCGTTTCCCGGTGCATATAAAAGTTATGTTTATCCTATCGTGCAGCACAAGAGTGCGAAAGCACTATGTCTAAAAAAACAACTTAGGTACCTTAATTAAATATGCTGATCATCATCTAAGCTTTCAGCGAGTTGTAATCACTGATCAAACATCACGTGACAAATATAATAATAATGAAAATAGGGACACCTGGGTGGCTCAGTTGGTTAAACACCTGCCTTCAGCTCAGGTCGGGCTTCCTGCTCAGCAGGGAGTC